TATTGAGTGCATACTAATCTTATTATAAGTGTTGGGTGCATAATATAAGTGCGGATATACTGATATGGCTGTGCGTGTGGGCCGTATCCACAAGAATGTATTGTGCTATATTTAAAATATATATTAAAAGGGATGTATATTAAAAGGACTAAACAACAACTGCGGCCCCTATAAAGGGCAGGATTGCACTCATGAGCCTGGCCCTGGCATTCTCTCCACTTCTCTCCCATCCAAAGTAATGACCTGAGTAAAATTCAATATGACCGAGAGAACTATGCAAGCGTATTACAGAAATGCAAGGGGGAGAGCTTGGGAGTGGGGTGAAACTCAGGTCAGCGCGTCTAACAAATATTAAAATGTTGGAGGCGCTCGGGACACGCCTAGCTGTTTAACAAAGACTGACAAACTATGGAGATTAATACGAAAACTTGCCAGTATCCGAATCGAAAAGGCTCAGTTAGGCCTAAGGCTGCTTGAAAGCTAGTAGCCAAATATACTGTAAGCTTTAAAAGCTGAAAGAAATAAAAAAAGAAAGAAAGAAAGAAAGAAAGAAAGAAAAGGAGAAACACAAAGAAAGAGAAAGAGAAAAAGAAAGAAAGAGAAAAAGAAAGAAAGAAAAGAGAAAGAAAGAGAGAGAGAAAAAGACTTTTGGAGAAAATAATATCTGATATGGAGGAGGGGAAGATATAAGCGAAGGATCTACTTTTCTGGTTGGTATTAGGGTTGCATGGCAAGGGGGGGCTTGCGGCTGAAGTGGTTGGGATAGTCGGCTGCATTTTGTATCCTAGCTGGCAGTGAGCACACGGATTTTTGTAACTGTGGGAAAAGGGAACGCGGGGGAGTGACTTCGAGAATATTTAAGGAGCTTTGAGGACTATGAAATGGGAATTTGGGGTGAAGGCGCTTAGGGATCAATTCCTTGGATTCATACTGGCAAAGGGTGCTATGAATCGACCCTCCTCGGAAGTCAACATAGTTCTAGTCCGAAAGAGGACAGCCATAAGCATTGTGACTATTTTTGCGCAACCCACTCCCTCCGAAAATGGAAAAGGGCAAAAACTTTGTATATTAGAGTGACATTATGTACCAAGGTCTTAAGATGCAATGTTCTGGCAGGTGCTTTCTCTATATGTTGATGAGAGAGACTCCCCTTGGAATTCCCTTTTCTCACAGGATCCCGAAAAGTGAGCCCCTTTTGTAAGCAACCCTTCCCAACCATCCTCTCCCATCTACTTAATTTTATTGCATTTTGGAAACAGGAACCTTAGCCACGTTTGCGATGAGGTTGGTTTTTTTTTTTTTTTTAGCCTCATTAACTTTTCCTTTTGAAATGCAGAAGTCGCTTGACTAAATCTCTCTTTCCAAACTTCCGAAAAGTTAAGACACTTTTATTAGAGCAATCGAAAATGCTTCCCCTCCACCACCCAATTAAGCGCAGAAGGTTAGGGGGCGGGAAGGAATTGCGAATGGGCTGGGGTGGGGAAGAGACGGGGATGTTGTTGTTTCTTTTGATTTCGGGGTATGTGTGCTTTGGAAGAGCAAAGTGTGAACATTTCTGCTAAACGCTAGGGGTGCTGGTGACACTGGGATAACCCCCTCCCCCCATTTGTCTATTTGTACAAGGAATTTTTAAAACTTGTACCGACATTTCTGTTTTTGTTTGTTTGTTTTTTGTAAAAGATAGAATTATTTTCATTTTTCGTTTCCTGGAAAGCCTGTATCTTAAAGGAAGCCCATCTAGAATGTACATATAAACACCTCCCCTCCCAAAAACAGGCAAGGGAAAAATGGAAAAGACCCAAATCAGAAGAAAAACAAGAGTTAGTGTCTGAAAGATGTAACTAGTGTGCATCCATATTTGGTAAACTTTCTTGAAGAGAGCAGGAATTTCTTTTCTACTTTGATCACAAGAATTGAAAAAAGCTTACTTCGAAGTAAGCCTCACTCATTGATCTCTATTCTTCATTACGTTGGCTTTGATTTTTTTTTAAACTGAAGATTTGTAGCTTACTTCTGAATGCCCTTTTAATGTTCTTCTGTCAATGAGATTTGTATGCTTGGAAAGGTATATGTTCCCCATTATAAAGACAAAATGATATGTTGACACTCCATTTTTGGATGTAGATAGTCAATTTGGACATAGTTAAAAGAAAGTTCTGCTGAAAGTGCATTTAAAATATTTAAAATACTCTTATTTGTATTGAATAATTAAAATATTCAATATTATTATTGGAAATTTTATTTTTGGAAAAAAGGAACAAGAACACATTTCTTAGATGAGTTTTTTGGCTAGGAGGGTGGAGGGATATTGTTTGGTAGGAAGTTGGGAAGGAGGGAAAACCGGAAAATAATAATGATAAATTTAGTCACATTTCCTTTCAAATGTTTTGTTTTGTCTGAAATTAATACTGTATTTATTCCTGAAGTGAATAGTTTTGCTTTCCAAAATGCAATACATCCTACACAGTTTAGGTGAGAAAAAATTTGTATTAGTCAGTGAAAATTATTCCTAAAGGCATGTGTGTAGGATTGAATGTTGTGCTTACATGTTCTGCAGACAAAGAATATATCCGGAGAAGGCCACACAAATACTATATATCAGTATAAATATGTAGAATTCATCTACATATACTGATAATTTTATCCAAAGGAGCACACTTCAGATTCCAGTAGTTCAATCCTAACCTCAGAAGAAAATGAATAAATTGTTCTTCTGATAAATAAGCCTGGGTATCAGAAAAGCTTCTTTCTTTCTGCAGTAACAGTGAAAATCCTATGACCTACTTAAGAGTAGAGAACACTGAATTCAGAAAGGCTTAGGGACTATTAGTAACACATCCTAAAACAATACTGGAGTTATTTTATCTCTTTTAAACCTCTGCCTTCAGCTTTCCTCTTTCCTACCTAGGGAAGATGAATGGTTTACCCAGGATACATATTTTATTGTTTTATATTCCCATTTTGGTGGGAGGACTACAATTACATTTCTTTGATCTTTTCTCTTCTTCATTTTTCTGGGATTTAAAGGAAATGCGAAGGAAAAAGAACCACACCCTACTTCCCTGTCTACCTCTAAAATTGTTTCCAGATTTCTCTGCCTTTTCTTCTCTATTTCTCATTTTATGCAAATTAGTTGTCCTGATGCCTAAAAAATCTTTGTAATGTCTGGAAGTTATTCTTTAGTACCACAAAGTCATGCAAAGGAGTGATTTTCGTTCTAATGAAAGGATAAATCTTGTTGAATTAGATTCAAAATGAATTTCTTTTTACTTAATGTTTCTCTTTAATCCTCTTTTAACCCCTGGATTTCAGATTATGTTTCTAAAGATGCATGCCCTTTTGTGATGAATTATACTGTAATGGATTCTACTACAGATTCTGGCTAATTTGCACTATTTTACAAATGCCCACAATTCCATAGTTTCTTTTGAAACTGAACCATTGTTTTTCCAAATGCCAACCACTTTTGGCTGAAAACTAACATTTTTCTCCCTTTTTGGCAAAGGAGAAGGTCTCTCTGTCTTCTGTATGTACCCTGTAGATCCGAATTTGTGTAAAAGAAGCTGTCTCACAAATTCGCATCTAGGGGAATATGTAGTTGACACAAACCCTACGGAGCGGAGCCCAGCCTTAAAGAAAGAAGAAGGAGAGAAAGAAAGGAGAATAAATCGTTAAAGACATTTGTTTCTTAAGAAGATTTTTCCTTTTTTGTGTGTGTGGCCATTGGTGCACCTTCTTCGGTGAGGTTTTACATACATACATGTGTATACATATATACACATTTGTATATTTAAATATAAATTTATAATTTAAATTTATACAGTTATATAAATAGCACCTATCTTAGGTGTTTCCCCCCACTTTTTATTATCTAAAGTTTTTAATTTTTTTCCTATTGCATTGAAAGCTTATTGGGAAAGAAATCACAGTAGAAGGAACAGATCCCTGCCCCATGGAGTTTACAAAAGGAAAATGGGGCAACGCGGTATAATGAAAAGGGACACTCAGGATATGTGTGGGTTAGGGTATGTTTGTCGGTATACATACAAACACGCATGTACGTGCATTTGTTGTATATAGAAACCCTGTAACCTCTTTCTATACTTTTAAAAAAGCGGATTTGTTCAGTTAATGCCCATCACAATCTGATTAGTCCCAATTCTCTCTTCTTCTGCTTAAGGTTTATACGATTTTTATCTTGTAAACATGGGAAAGAGAACCAGTTTAAACCAGAATCTAGCTGTCATTTAAAGGATGGGTAACTCGAATTGGTTAATGATGTTTCTATCGATCCCAAATAACCTCTATCTATCTTTGCCACTGGTTTGACTCGCTCACAAAATTTAAGTAGAGGCAAGAAAATGAATATCTTACAAACCCATAGACCCCGTTCTTTTCACTCGTTTCATATTTGTTCTCAACAAACTTCCTTATTTGATTTTTAAAATTGATTTTAAATGAATCGAGGAGACGAAGAGACATTGGATGTATTGAGTTTTGACAAAATATCTGCGGACAAATCGGGCAGGAATGGGAGTTTAGGATTTTGTGCCTTCCTGATTTTGGAGAGATTATGGAATATCCGATTTTGATGTGTGTGTGTGAAATTAAAATATTACTATCGTTTTTAAAATATCAAAAAGGAATGCAGAGTGCCGATTATTCGTACCGCAGTGCAGAATCCTATTTATATCCCAATATATTTTACAGATAAAATAAATCCAACTGACTTCAAAGCAACTTGCTTTCAAGTTGAATGCGAGGTGGTAAACGGAAAGGCTAAAAGTGCGCCCCCACCCTTTCCTCCTCCTTGATTATTTCCTTATCCGGGAATCCCAGGCTACCCCTCCATTGGTTCATGGGGTCACATGGAGAGCTAACTTTGTTCAGTTGACGGCAAAAGTAGGAGGGCTCTGCGAAACAGGAAAACGAGAAGGGGAGGGGAAGGAAGGGCGAAGGGGGAAAAGGGGAGGGGGGCGAAGAAATAGGAATAAATTTTAGTATATTTTTGGGGTGTGCGTGTGTGTGAGTGAGCGAGAGTGTGCGTGCCGGCGCGCGCGCGCTCTTGCAATTCCAAAATTAATGGCCATGAGTTCTTTCTTGATCAACTCCAACTATGTGGACCCCAAATTCCCACCATGCGAAGAATATTCCCAGCACGATTACCTTCCCAGTCATACTCCGGAATATTTCAGCGGCCAGAGGCGACAGGAGAACTCTTTCCAACACGAGGCGTTGTACCCAGCGCGGTCCGCCTGTAACCAACCATCCTATCCTCCATGTCAGGGCTCTGGGCACCAGCCACCGGTCCTCTCCCCCAGGAGCCAACATGCTCCGGCTGGACTTCAGAACCATCTCTCCGAACCAAATCATACTTGCGAATCCATCACGCCAAGCCCACCGCCTTCCTGTAGCCAAAACTCTCTCAACCAAAGCCCTGGCAAAGAGCCGGTAGTTTATCCTTGGATGAAGAAGGTTCATGTTAGCACGGGTAAGTGAACCTTAAAGAGCTGTTCGCTTTATACTAACCTGCACCTCAAAGTCTCGTTGGGAAGAGAGGGAAAAAAGGCTTATTGCCCCCGTTGTAAAAGAACCATTCCCCTTGGAGATTTATGGTCTCCCTGTTTGCAGAGCGCTATAATTACATCCTCCATAAATTTTTATTGCTCTTCTTGGCCAACTGCCTTTGAAGTCCCTGTTAACATCCTTCTCCAGAATCTCTTTCTTCCTTTCCTTTCCTTTCCTTTCCTTTCCTTTCCTTTCCTTTCCTTTCCTTTCCTTTCCTTTCCTTTCCTTTCCTTTCCTTTCCTTTCCTTCTTTCCTTTCCTTTCCTTTCATTCTTTCCACTGGAAAAATTTTGATGTGTGGGATTTTTAAAAGCTCAATTTGTACGTTTCTTTTCCCCCGAATCCCTCTCTTGAAAAGCCTCTCTCTTGACGGTTTTTCACAACCTCTTTTCAGAGCATTGAAGGTGGCTATATAGAGGAATTAGAGAAAAGACGATTTAGTATGAAAGAGTGTGTTACATGCCAGCAGAAACTTTATAGAACTTTGGGGTGCCCACTTAACTCTTCGGTACACGTGGATGAATATTATTTTGCTCTGGGGCACTTAAATTGCTGCCCCTGAGCTTATTAATGCTTGTTCACTGTGAGTGTTTTCGAGGTACTTATGCTGGTTATCAGTCCAATAAGACGAGATTTAACTGCACTCTACATTTCACTCCTATCTTTGATGGATTCGTTATGAGATAGTCGGCACGTGTAAATAGGGGCCTCTTTCTCTGATTTCTGCTTATAATTGCTGATAAATTTAAAAGTGGCCTGCTATCCATAATTTAAGGAAGAGAGTCTGCTGTCACTCTTTCTCAGCAGTGATACCAAACACTCTAACAATAGTAAATTAATGGATTTATTATAGATTAACTTTAAAGCCTTGTTGTTTAACTGCTTTGAAGAACTCAGCTACCCTGCTTTAGGGTGGGAATGAAGTGAAGTTTTTAAATTGCAGGATATATAAATTTTAAGGCTGTGCAAGGACGGAGGAAGAGGGGAGGTTCCAGTCTTTAATAGAGGAATTCAATGCCTCTATTAAAGGCGTTGAACTCCAGGAAGACAAAAAAATAAAAAATAGAATGATCGAACAGATATTCTACTTAAAAAATTCCAATTAAGCCTGTGATTCGTTCTCTGCACACACCCACACCCACGGATGTATTTCTGTAATCCTATCCTGCGTGGATTTATTCAAAAGTAAACTGTACTAAATGTAATGGGATGTGTCTAGTGGGCCGATAGAAATCTGAGTCTAGAATACCATCCTAGATATGTCAGTATGGCCCCGAGAGAAAGAAAGGAAGGAAGGAAGGAAGGAAGGAAGGAAGGAAGGAAGGAAGGAAGGAAGGAAGGAAGGAAGGAAGGAAGGATTCAAAATCTTGAGTAGGTTTGGGGCGGGGGACCTGCGGTTTGCGATTTGTTTTTGTGGTCTGCTTGACTATCACTTGCAAAAGATTGAGGGCAGCGAAGACCGTTCTTGTTTTGTTTTAAAGAGGCAGAAGAGTAACCTTCACACTCCCCCATTCCGCCCTTGTTCTTTTCTCCTCCCTCCTCCCCGCTTCTTTTGTGCCTCTTCTTCCAGTCAACCCCAACTACACCGGAGGGGAGCCCAAGCGCTCCAGGACAGCCTACACGCGGCAGCAAGTGCTGGAGCTGGAGAAAGAATTTCACTACAATCGCTACCTCACCCGGAGGCGAAGGGTGGAAATCGCTCACTCCCTTTGCCTGTCCGAGCGCCAGATCAAGATATGGTTTCAAAACCGGCGGATGAAATGGAAAAAAGACCACAAGTTACCCAATACTAAGATCCGGTCAAATGCTGCTGCCAACCTGCCGGTGCCAGGCGGAGCAGGAGGCCCTCAGGACCGAACCAATGGGCCGACCCCGAAACCCACCCCCAGCCTATAACCATCCTTGAGCGCAACCTGAGGGTGTGTGTGTGTGTGTTTGGGCGCGCGCACGCCTGTGCGCGCACGTGTGTGTGTGTGTGTGTGTGTGTGTGTGTAGGCGCGCGCGTGTGTTTGTGTGTGTGTGTGTGTGTGTGTGTGTTGGGGGGCGGGGTGTATATGAATGCGTGTGCTAAGAAGTGATTATGGAACGGAAGGTCGCTTTGTGGCTTTACTGTTCCCTGGGAAGAAAGATGGGGGCCATTGGGGATAGGGAGGGAGGTGGGTGGGATCACTATTTATACGAGGAAGAGGAAACAAAGGAGTAGGGGGGTGGTTTCTCACTGGCCGGGTTGTGTTTGGGGGTAGTTTCTCTGTTCTACTGTATAGGAGGTAGGGGTTTCCAGATTTGGCTAAGATGGATCCCTTCTTCATCCTTAATCAAGCCAAACTCGGGCCCATTTGTCATGTTTACTCTCCCGTACAAACGAAGGACCTTATGCCAGCCATTAGCTCGACAGCCAGAGTCATCTTTAATAAATGAGGCTTGGTTTCACCTAAGGAGGACTGGACTCTCTCTCTCCCTCCCTCTTCATCTTCCTTTCTTTCTGTCTCCTCTTTCGCACCCCATCCTTATTACTCCCTCTGCCCCCCCCCATCCATCCTCACCTACCACACTACCCATCCTACAGACAGAGGGCTGATCAAGACTACAGAAAGCTGTTTTAATGCAGTTATGGATGGAGGGAAGATTAGAAGTGGGGAGAGGGGGTAGGAGAGTGACATTTCCACAAACTCTCTAAGGATATAATTGGCTGGTGAATGTAGTAAGGAAAGAACCCAAAATGAACAAACAAAACGAGAAGAGCAACAAAAAATGGGGAGGGGGTCTTGAAATAATAAAGCCATTAAAAATGGGGGCTTCTTTGGGTTAATTACATAACGTGGGAAACATGGAAAGCCAAGAGTGCTGTGCATTTCAGTCCATAAAGTTGATTATAAGGCCATCTGCGTTCCAGTAGCCATTAAAATTGGAGGGGGGGCTTATAAATAAGGGCGCCCCTCTGGTGTCTTTATACCCGATTTTGGACCAAATAATGTATGCATAAGATGGGACTTCAGGGAATTCCCCTGGGAAGTGAAGGGAAGACATATATATGACCTCTGTACCTTCCCTGCATCCTTTTTTCACAGGCACAAATCCTTTCTTCCCTTCCCTCTAAGACATTCCAAAATGAGGTGATGCCACAGAACTCTGTGGAGGGAGAGAAGATGCCTCCTTCTTTTGCTTTTGTATAATTACTTCTTGCTGTTTTGTGTGATATCCATGCAAACATGTATATAGAATACCACAAAATAAAACATTTTATTGTGAACACGACTCTGCGTTTTTAGAATCTGTTAACAGCAGCTAGAATACTGATAGGGTTCCTTTGTTGTGATTGTTCACCTCCGCACTCAGTGTAAATTCCACCACTTTTGGATTGTAGCAGATTTTAACTGTCAATTTTAAAACCTAAACTTCTCTGACAAATGAAAAATGCTTGACCATAGGCTATACTTTCCTTTACTACAGCTCAGGCTTAGAAGGAATGATTTATTTTGTAAGTATGCATCAGAGTGGTTACATTTTGACTTTTAAACTGGTTCAAAAAAATACCACAGTATTAGATTTCTACCTGATAACTGATACTTAGAGGGCAGACTTACATTCTCCATGAAATTTATCCCTTCCCTCCACCCCCCCTTTTTTTTGTAAAAAAGCTACCTTCTTTAAGGTATTTACTGCATTTTATGATCATAATTTTTGCACAGATGTTTCTTGGTGTTTGCAGGTTTTTCTGTGTATTTTTATATTACAAAGGAGCCAGCCACTGCAATAGCTCAAACTCTGACAAGCAAATAGATAATCAAGAAGACAAATGACTTCTTTTGTGCTCCATAGCTCTTGTATTAATTTTCATTTTCTTTCCCATATAAAGTATCGAAAATACTGTTTAGGATGAAATAGCATTCCACTTCCAAGTTACAAACTCTGTGTGAGTGTTGTGTTTATGTGGGTGGATGGTGGTGATACAAGCTAGTGTAAAGAAAACTCTTAAATTCTTCTTAAAAGAGAGAGGGTAGAGAGAGAGAGAACACACAGAGTTATACCATTAATGTAGGTCCTAATTTATTTGATCATGTAGGTAGAATTCATCCAGAAATTCTCTACCAGAAGACCTGTAAAAATGAAGGTCACATTCATTTTAATGGAGTTTGTGCAAGAGAAATTCCGCTTGCTTTCTACCCTGAGAAATGCCTCAGAGAAAGTAATTTCCATGGGAGAGTTAACTATTCTATAACCTTCCTTTAGGCTATATTTTTTTATCCATTATTCAAACTGAGTGTTATTTTACTGCTTTATTGTATTATCAAAACATGCATCTCAGTAGGATTTATTCATAGTCCACATGTCTATTTTTAATTTAATTTTAATAGGTTGGATCCAAACTTGGTCATGCTTAGAGCAGATCAACTGAAATCAATGAGACTTAAACAACTCCTAACAAGCAGATCCCATTAGTTTCACAGAATCTACTATAATTGTATTGCCCATCTTTCATGTGACAGATAGACAGATAAATAAATAAATATTATATCAAAGTTGAAGCAAAAATTCCTGACCTCATGAGAATTTTGTTATATTTAAAGTCATTTAATTCTATGATAGCTCAGTTAATAATTGCAAACTTAAGTCTCATTGATTTTGGTGAGACTACTCTTAATGAAATTAAAATGGGTCAAGCCATACCCTCAATTAATCCTTTACTAAGAAATTTGAGATTGTTAAACACTGTGCACTGTCCAGTTAACCCACTGCTTTTTAATAGAACTACAACTCGAAAAACAGCCATAATGCTGTGAATCATGTACACCACCCAGGGTCATTCTGTGTGTGAGATGGAGCATTTCTAAATTTTATATATAAATAAAATAAATAAATAAACCTGCAACAGATCCTTTGTTATGGAAATCAATGGGACTAACTTATAAGTAAATATGGTGTCTCCAGGATGTCTTGGGACAGTTATATATGCATTAACAGAGTGAAGCACATGCACCATGCACCTACAGATAAGAGAATTTGTTTATAACAACACATTTAATTAACCCCCCCTCATTTCTTATGGATTAATACTTGAGGAAAATGTCAGTTCAAGTATTTGGTAGATTTTTTATTGTTTATGGAATATTCAGAACACATCTGGTGAAGACAGGCTTGAGGAAGGTTAAAAAAAATATATAATTGTATTCCATACTGATTTCATATTATAGCCATACTGAAGTGGAGCAAATGTTTTGTAAGCAATATTACGACCCCCACCCCCATCCCTGACTCCCCAGGACTGGTGGTAGCTAGACCACATTGTTTTAATTTCTCTTGATTCTGTGATGCTGGATGGGTTCTCTTCAATGTTTAGGGCTATCACAAGTCCTTCTCCCTTCTACCTTCCCCAAACAAAACTTTAAAGCATATACTGGTAAGAATGCAGCTCCTATAGAATCAAATCAAAGCTGGAGAGTGTGAATAGATTTTAGGGTGGGGATTTCTATAGCCTCCAAAAGTTCACAGGCATTGAAAGCAGACAGGAGCTGAGAAAAATGTGAGAATTATGCGGGAAAAATCATTAATCATTTCTTTTCTTCAAATACTTATCCTTTTCCTATTGTTATTCAACAGCAAACCTCTACAGACCTTCTGTTGGGAAAAAAAGAGAGCACCCGGGAGCCTTGAATCTTTTAAGATATCTTCCAGGAGATAATATTCTCTGAAATATACATTAAAAATTGAGCACATTTTATTTTAATGGAAGACTTGACTTCAAATATGAATATGACCAGCTTTAAACATCTGGAAAAAAATCCTGTGAAGCTAAAAAGGTAATATATGTAAAATAATATACCTATATATAGAATTATTTTAAAGCTTGGGTTGTTCTTTTGGAACTGCATATTGCTTGGGTTTTAAGAATGAAAGGGGGCAGAGACAATGTCAAATGTCTTCTCTTAAAATTGTGTCCTGTGAAGTAAAGAAGCTGGATTCTATGTCGACTTGTTCATTCCAAAGCAATGGCCTCCGAGTACTATGGTCTTACTTTTCCGTAAGTGTTTTCATAGAATTTGCAGTTCTGGATGAAGGCAGTTTTTATTTTCACCAAAAGAACAAAGAAAAAAATACAGTTAATTTAATTTGTTTCCTGATTATGTGAGATCTCTAGAATTTAGTTTTCTGTGCAAGGTTTATTTTGTTTTAATACAGTTTTCTTGATTTTGGTAGAGCTGATAACACAGAAGGCATCAGAATTAAGAAGCTCCCTGTTTTTATTTCTCTATAGATTTTGTGCTTCCTATAATTTTTTTTCCAGTTATAAGATCATACACTTCATAATTGCAATTTGGAGAAAGGAGGCGCAGCTAGTAAATTGCTTCTAAAATGCATGTGTCTGGTATGTTTTATATGAAGTTTTTAACATTTGTTGGAAGAGACATGAGCGATAGATTTTGCCTATCTATCTACCCATCCATCATCTATCTATCTATCTATCTATCTATCTATCTATCTATCTATTATCTATCTATCTATATCTATCCATCATCCATCTCTATCTACTCTATCTATCTATCTATCTATCTATCTATCTATCTATCTATCTATCCATCCATCCATCCATCCATCTCTATCTATCTATCTATCTATCTATCTATCTATCTATCTATCTATCTATCATCTATCATCTATCCATGTGCATTTCAAGGTGGAGGACTTATATTAAACAAACACAGTTAAAATTTGACCCTGGTGAGCTGCGGAGTGAGTGCTGAGTTCATCCAAGGGACACATTTTCTGAATGATTAGCCCGGTATTGCAACTACAGAATGACCTCTCCAAACCCCTTGACCTTTTCAGGACTGGACATTGTGCCAAATAGTATGGCTCACACAGAAGCAGGGGTAGGTTAAATCAAACTCTGGAGATCAACCTGAAAACTCTCAGCAAAAACAGCCATTTCACAACACCTTTCCCACCCCCAGATTTCCTTCTGCTTCTTGTAGATCTTGTTAATTTTTCTGTAGTTGAATTATGTTGTCTGAAGGGTTTTTTTTGGTAGATTTTGCTGCTGGGGGCAGAATTCCAAGATAAGTCCTCCTTCACAATGAATGGGAGTTGTGGAAAAGTTAGGTTGGTTTGATTGATGGCAATTAATTTAATATGCTCTTATCTTACTTTGGTCTACTTGAATTTAATTATGAATAGAGACAATTTCTCTGTCCCAAAGTACCTGGATATTACTTTGTCATCATCAGATGTGGCAACAAGAATCACAGTGATGGTTGTAGAAGTAGCAATATTGTGGCTTTCCCTTGCTTCTCAGTTGGGTTGATTCTTTCACTTTTTTTCTTCCCTGCAAGAACAACAGACAGCATTTGATGACTGGATGTCTTTCATAACCCCCTTAAGGTTTGCCAACAAGAATGTAGAGGGAAGGTTTTTATCCTTCTCTCACTGTCTTCCTCATCCTTTTTGAGAAAGATTATCTCCAATACTTCACAAATGTTTTAACAACTCATTCTGTCTCTCCTGCCTGAAAAAGCTTTGGTGGTCCAGAGTTTGATAAATATATTTCTTGACTACTGAAGATAGCCAGGAGACTAGAATGGCAGTCTTACCATATTTTGTCTTTATTTCCCAATTTGATGTCCATTTTTCTCTGTTCCTTTTCTTTCCTTTCTTTTTCTTCTCTAATGAAATTGTGGAATGTCAGTTCAGAAATGCTTGTAAATGCTTGGAGATTTTACAAAATTTTGTAAAGAATTCAGGCATACATTCACCCATGAAATATAGCATCTTTATGTTGTTTCTGATACTCTAGCTATAAGGGAAAGTAGTAGAGGCACTTATTTTTCAAAGGAGTCTAAATAAATCAAATCAATGGATGATCTTAACCCTCCCAACCTGCAAGGCCAAGTGAGAGCTATAACTATGGAAATCCATGAAAGATTTGCCATAAAACATAAGACAGGCTGTAGACTAATCTTTGCCAATTGAGACTCCAAAATTGCTTTAAACTGGTCTAAGGCCATTTAAACCTATCTAAGTAAAAGGAAAGAAACTACAGGATTGCAGTCTGCACAGTTCCATCTAGGTACCTCAAAACCATGACCAAAATTGCTGCTTGCTTTGGGCTGCATAAAATGTTCTTTAAAGATTACCTACAAAGCTCCCTCCTCCTTCCATATCCCAAAGTTGGCATTCACAAGAAAAGCTAGCTTCCAGATAAGTAGTGATTAATAAAGGATTTTTTTTTTGCTGTATGCATTTTGTTGAATAGGGAAATA